TCGATTCCCACAGCGGCGACAATCTTTTCGCACTTTTTCTACATATTTTAATGTTCAATCTTAAGTGCAAAGATTAGCACTATAAACAATTTAAATTTCTAAAAAAGCAATGGCGACATTTCTCGTTCGAATTATCGTTGTAAAACGATATTCGAAGTTGTTTGTATGCTGGAAAGGATATAACAATAGATGGCGCCAAGCATTGCTTCAATGCTAAGAAAACAACGTGGAAGAATGCGTTAAGATTTTCGTCGGTGTGGTAATCAGCCGTTTAGCTCAGTGGCTAGAGCGTCAGGCCGCGAATGCCGAAGACGTGGGTTCGATTCCCACAGCGGCGACAATCTTTTCGCACTTTTTCTACATATTTTAATGTTCAATCTTAAGTGCAAAGATTAGCACTATAAACAATTTAAATTTCTAAAAAAGCAATGGCGACATTTCTCGTTCGAATTATCGTTGTAAAACGATATTCGAAGTTGTTTGTATGCTGGAAAGGATATAACAATAGATGGCGTCAAGCATTGCTTCAAATGCTAAGAAAACAATGTGGAAGAATGCGTTAAGATTTTCGTCGGTGTGGTAATCAGCCGTTTAGCTCAGTGGCTAGAGCGTCAGGCCGCGAATGCCGAAGACGTGGGTTCGATTCCCACAGCGGCGACAATCTTTTCGCACTTTTTCTACATATTTTAATGTTCAATCTTAAGTGCAAAGATTAGCACTATAAACTAATTTAAATTTCTAAAAAAAGCAATGGCGACATTTCTCGTTCGAATTATCGTTGTAAAACGATATTCGAAGTTGTTTGTATGCTGGAAAGGATATAACAATAGATGGCGTCAAGCATTGCTTCAAATGCTAAGAAAACAATGTGGAAGAATGCGTTAAGATTTTCGTCGGTGTGGTAATCAGCCGTTTAGCTCAGTGGCCAGAGCGTCAGGCCGCGAATGCCGAAGACGTGGGTTCGATTCCCACAGCGGCGACAATCTTTTCGCACTTTTTCTACATATTTTAATGTTCAATCTTAAGTGCAAAGATTAGCACTATAAACAATTTAAATTTCTAAAAAAGCAATGGCGACATTTCTCGTTCGAATTATCGTTGTAAAACGATATTCGAAGTTGTTTGTATGCTGGAAAGGATATAACAATAGATGGCGTCAAGCATTGCTTCAAATGCTAAGAAAACAATGTGGAAGAATGCGTTAAGATTTTCGTCGGTGTGGTAATCAGCCGTTTAGCTCAGTGGCTAGAGCGTCAGGCCGCGAATGCCGAAGACGTGGGTTCGATTCCCACAGCGGCGACAATCTTTTCGCACTTTTTCTACATATTTTAATGTTCAATCTTAAGTGCAAAGATTAGCACTATAAACAATTTAAATTTCCATTCATTGAAGATTTATCGAACGAAAGACTGTTGGGATAGCCAGAGCCCAGAGCTTGGGAAGCTTGATACGAGCCTCCACTTTGGTAGGGCCGTTTATACTCTCAGGAAGGAGGAAAATCACCAATGTTCTACCTAAGTTCGGGTATGGACCGTGACCCCGATGGCATTTGACTGCATGAATCGTTAGCAGGAAGCGTTAAGAATCGCCCTAGAACACAAGGATACGTTTTGTACGCGTTCTGTTGGTATTGTCGTAGTTACAGGCGATGACGAACTATGTGGTTCTTTGAGGCTCAGCTTTAAAGTTACTTTGTGAAGTCAAACATCCTATAGTACATGCCGATCACAGGTACTGTAAAACATCACCTAAAATGAAGACGTCACCTAAAATGCCATGTAGAGCTTGGGAACAATGGAGTAAAAGAATACACTTTAAAAATTACAAGTAACACATATAATAACCAATCGGAGAAATCATGCAATAAAATATTGACAGACGTAGCCCGTCACAAGTTTGGGCTGCCAGATATAAGAATTTTAATAACAAAAAAAAATACTATCTGAACAGCACGTTATCTAAAAACCTTGACAATGCGGCATGGTGCTTTAACTACAACCATTTATGGCTATTCCGTTATGAAACTAAATAAAACTCTTAAAACTACTTAATTTTGTGCTCGATGTCATCTTTAATGACTTTTATGTATGAGGTTTTGGGTGGACGGTTATCCCACCCTGCCGTAGAAAGGAAACGCTTACGCCTAGAGCAATACGTCAGAAAGCAATGACACACTTAAATTTAGGCTATTGAACAAATAATTCTATTCTATCAATCTGATAAACTAAGCTTCTATTTGACGCGATAATAAAAAAGTTTGGGAATTTTAAAATTAACAGTAAAAAAGGAGATGTAATTATTAATATAACGTTAAAAATTAGTGTCTATTCATTTAAACTGTCTTAACGCAGAAAAAAATACGCGGTGAAATTTTTTGTTCATTTTTTTCTAAACGGCACTGGACAGGCAGTAGTCATAATAATATTTATGTGAATTTAATGACGTTACACGATTTAATCTCGACGGAGACTGGCCACGGTCCTATTCAGAGAAATAGTGTAACAGGAGCGTTCCGGGAGAGAAAGGTCTCTCCTACATTATGTTCGGTGGAAAGATAAATTGCCCGACCGCACGGATTTATTGCTGAAAAGAGATCCGAGCGGTGGAAATTGAAAAATATATTTCTCCGCACCGTTGCCGCAGTAAGTTTCTGACAGGGGATTAGTGAGCGCACAAGATTTTCTTCTTTCAACATTTATTATGCAAATGCTTGTTTAGAAGTTTTTTAAGGACGCAGGTGCTATTGCTGCTTATGAATTTAAAAAAATATAGCAAAGGCGCGTTCAGAAATTATTTTTTTTATTTACATGAGTTTAATTACATTATCTACAAACTCAAGACGACAGATTATCTGATATTATGACGGATTGATACAATTGAGTAAAACATTTACAGAATGAATCCACCATACTAGAAGCGAATAACCACATGGGAATGCTTTGCGCCCTTAAAGAGAAAAAGGCATGTCACATCGTCGATATTTTCTGCGAGACAAAGATTTCTATCTTTGTCACACACACGTACACGCTGGATAGACCCGAGTTTATATAGGGAAAAATGATTTGTAGAATAGAGACAGGACTTGTCCAGACAAGGAGGAGGAATTCAGGCTCTATTAGAAAATGTATAGGCGAGAAAGAGATGAAATGAAAATTTCCTGTAACATTCTGAAGATGAAATGTGCAATCGGAGCGGAGGTTCTAGAATAATCTATATACAACAGCTGAACCGAGCTGTAACAGGAACATTTTCAACTAAACACTATATAGCACTGTCGCATTTTTCATTTCAATGAGCTAAAATTTAACTAGAAGTCTGTTAAAAATAAATATTTCAACTTCGGAACTTTCGATTCGCTATTATTCAACACCCATTTCCTGTGACTCCACTTTATGAATTTCATTTTCAAACAACACTTCAATCCGATTGCACTATAGAGGCAGTGTTTCAAATATTATTTCCCCCGGCTACTTCACTCCCTAAATGAAACGCAGAAGTATAACACTTCCACTTCACGCCGGTCTTCTATGAGGTCGTGGTACTTACCCGGACCTGCCATTCGTGTAAAACCCGAAACTGTTAACAGCGTGACCCTGCCACAATTAGTTCTAAATTTAACATTAAAAATACGATAAATCACCACAAAATTATAGTTTTAATATCAACATTTTGGTTCAGAAACTGTTTTTTTTTTTTAATTCTTATTTATAATCAAGCAAGAATAAGGTAAAGGTAAATAACTTTAACTCCGGCGTAATTCAAATCAAATAAATTTTAAACGATAGAGATAAATCTGTAATGAATTAATCAACAAGCAGAATTCGGCGGTCGCTTATAGTTTTCGAGAAAAAATATTTAAAACTTGTTTTTTGTACTAAGAAATCCACCATTTTATTCGTTTGACTTCAAAAGTTCTTTACACAGTTCTGCCAACATGATAAATATAGGAAGCGGGCGCCATCATACACGTATCGATATTCCGATTTTTTAAATTTAATGAGTCACAGAACCGACACAGAGCGAATCCGACTCGGATAGATTAGGTTAGAAGGTTCAGGCGGGAGCGGAGCTCGATGTTAGGTTTTTTTTTATGACCACCAAGAAATACGAGCTGAATTGACATATTGACAACAAAAAATGGCGGATTTCTGTAGTAAAAATCACACTATTTCATTATTTATTTTTTCGAAAACTATAAGCGACCGCCAAATTCTGCTTGTTGATAAATTCATAAGTGAGTTTTCTCTATCGTTTAAAATTTATTTGATTTGAATTACGCCGGAGTTAAAGTTATTTACATTTACCAAGAATAATAATATTGACGCAATTAATGCTGAAATCATAAAGATTGATATCATAATTACGCAAAATGTTTAGAGAGTGCGCAACAAATTTAAAGCATTGAAGCTTAACGGTATTATCTGCTGCCTAAACTAGTACGTAATCTTTAAGTTTTATTATGTAATACTTACTGACAGAATTTTCTCTGATACTTTTGAGTATTTCTACTAAACTATTTCTTGATGGCACTATTAAATTGTAGGCGGTGAAGTGAAAGTGAAATATTTTCGCTACCCGGCAATGTCATTCACTAATGACAGTTTAAAAAGTTAAAACAATAATTTTTAATGGCTGCCCTCTGTTTACACAAAAATAACGTATTATATTTTTAATTCATCGCAATGATCGCGATCGTACCAATGTAATTATAATAAGATAAACAATAGTTTTATAACAATTTTATGAATGTTATTTCATCGATGCATATCGTAACAACTGATGCTGGTTTGAAAAGAAACCGTCATTTGTTTTTCTTCAAGTTTGCATTTTCTTTTATTTGTTGTATTCGAAACGTCACGCCCAGTGAAAGTGTATCGAATTAGCAGCGCTCCTCTGGTCCGAAATATTACGGATCGATTTCGGATACGGTCGAATTGATGGTCGTTCCGCCTTGGTGTTGATATTTTCCCGCGCGCGCAGTACTCGGTGACCGGTCTAAGATGATGGGACTGTATTCCAGCGGCGCGCTGGGTGGCGTCGAGGTGTTGGATGGTGGTCTGGTGGGTGGAGAGTTGACCGCTCACGTGCTGAATGCCCAAGCGGCTGCGCATGCCGCTGCCACAGCCGCGGCCGCTGCCCATCAGCAGCAACAGCAAATGGCTGTACAACAGATCAGTAAGTCATTAAACAATATATCATTTACCTTCCTCATGGGTGTTCGCTTAAAACTTTTAATGAAAAGACCAATGTGCTAATTAATATATTTATAAATTTTTCAATAGTAATTACGTACTACAATATTAGCATTTAAATTTTGCAAAAGATGGCGTTCGAATAAATATGTTGAGTGCTTTGTTTATCCACCATTAGTTGTTCTTTTGTAAAGAAACACCTTTAGTAAGTACTTAGTAAAAATTGTGTTTAGTTTTAACTTGATTGTGATCATGGTGGGTTTTATTGTTCTATATTACTTAATTTCTCATTCTTTTACACTTCTTTGTATTCCAAATTTCACTTTTACTGTGGTTTTTCTATTCAATTTCTGTATGTAAAGGATATTTGAATAATTCTGAATTATTTGGTTTTTTCTATGGCTACAATGTAAATTTATTTCCATTTGTTATTTTAGTTGAAAATAATTATGAATTGAATTAAACCGTAAAATTTAAAATCAATAAATATAATTTTGATGTGTTTTTTTATTCATTTATTTCCTGTTTACATATTTATTAAACCTTGCATGTGTTGCTATAATTGCAGCACTTAAATGGCAATATCTAAAAATTAAACTTGCCCTATGTGAACATTTTATTTTTAAAATAATTTGGCTCGATTCAAATATACTTTTTCATGTTTTTATCCTGTTTCAAGGAAAAGTAGAGAAGAGGACTTGTACTTTGTATATTATTCATCTATAAAGCAGAATAGCTTGAAACATACATACATATTAAAATTTCAATGTGTTTTAATCAATTTCCTCATATACTTTAAGCAAACAAAAATGAAAGAAACTTTCCCAAGAATAATAGACTGTCCCTCAATCTTAATTTTATCATATTTTTATGTCCTTTTTCATGGAAAACTTGATTCCAGTAATAATAGAGAAAATAGAATTGTATTGTAGAAATCAATCTTAGTACTTCTATGCATTGCAGTTGTAATTCAGTAAATGTGTCTTGTTAAACTGATAATATGTTATTATATAACTTATTTAATATAAATTACATTTTAAACTATAAAGAAGTTAATATAAAACATAATTTATTGTTTCTATGCTATAGAAATACAAGTTGATGGCTACTAATTTTTTTCTCTAAAACATACCTATGAGGAAATCCTTAACTAAAGAGTTAAAAACGATAATAATATATGGAAATAAAAAGGAGGTCCTATTATACAGAGTGTCTTTACAATTGCGACAATAAATGAACACACATATAGAGGATACCTTTTTAAAATTGTATTAAATATTTACAATAAATATTTCTTTAAACATCAATATTTACCGAATTATTAAATTTTCCAAAACAAACAATTTTAGAACAGCTTATGTATAAAACTGTAACGTAAAGTTCATTTGTAAAGGTCATAAAGCATATGAATGGGTTGAATGAATTTAAAAGAGACAAAACATATACTGTTAGAAGGAGAGGCAAGTAATGCACCACTGTGGCAACGAATGAAAAAGTCTCTGAATGTATGATTAATTAGTTTGTTTGAAAAATATTTTTTTAATTATGGATTTTTAATGTTTATATTTTTTTATGATTATTGGCAAGAAGCGTTAAACGTATGTTCATTTATTGTTGCGGTGGTGACGACACACTGTATGTATATATATATCTGAATGTATGAATCAGTCAGTTGTAGTTGTATAGGATGTTACAAATTTTCTTTCTTTTTTACTTAATTAGTTTGTTTGAAAACTTTTTTTTACTATGGATTTTTTTAACGTTAATATTTTTTTATGATGATGGGCAAGAAGCGTTAGTTGTGTGTTGATTTATTGTCGCGATGGTAACGACACGCTGTAAATAAAAAAATGAGATAAAACAGTGGACTGAACATAAACAAACCCTGAGGTTCATAAGTTGACCAACAACAATACAACATCAGCCTATCGCTGTCCACTGCTGAACGTAAGCCTCCCCCAAAGTGCGCCAATTATCCTGGTCCTGGGCAGCCCCCATCTGTCTGCTGCCCGCCATATCAGCTTCTAATCACCGGAATTGATTGGAATTTTTGCATGTCTCAAAAATATACCAAAAAAGCTAAAGAGCGCATCCAAAAATCTCCTTTCTTGTACTACTAATGTTGAAAACTATAGTTTTATAGACTATAAATATATTTGTCTTCTATTTAGAAACATCACCCTCATCGGGACGCTCAACGCCTGTGACTGCAACGGCAAACAGCACGGCCACATCAACGGGTACCACATCGCCGTCGCCCAGCAAACTGTTTGTGGGTGGACTCAGCTGGCAGACGAGCTCTGAAAAGCTTCGAGAGTACTTTGCAATGTTTGGCCCCGTCTCTGATGTGCTGATTATGAAAGACCCTGTAACACAGGTGAGCTGAGGTCCATTTTGGAAGAGGGTAGACGGTGAATTGAATTCCCCCTTGTGCCTAGGTTTCTGTTTCACTTTGGAAATATACGTTTTTTATAAGGACTACTATTACAGTTATGTAGTAAATTTGCAAAAAATGCATTATAACAGTATTCTAAATAGTTTTATTTAAATCTTATGCAATTGTGATGCCAAAAGAAATTGAAGCGGCTGAAAACATTGTAAAAAGAGAAGAAAAATTTGATTGAGAGAAAAGTTTGAATGAGACGTCAATTTTACTAGCTTCCTGAAGGAAAAATGTATTGCCTTGATTAAAGTGATGAATATAACTTCATATACTTAAGTTCGAAATTCAAAAACAATATTATTAAATGTTATTTTTGACACTGACTGACTGATAAAACATAATTATGTTCTACTACTTTGTACATCTGGTATTTAAGTTCTATAGCAGCTATTGTTTATTATAAATTAGCCGATTCAATTACACCTACCACAATCTTTCTTTGATTAAAACAAACCAGTTTATTGTATAAGGATGTTTTGTTTCTTCAAAGAATGCCGAGTAGGGGGGCTTTCGAAGATGGAATTCTGCAATCATCGGTCAGTGTTAGCTCGCGCCACGCCCGTGGCTTAGGTTGTCTGGAATAGGTAGTATGTAGGTCGTGTAACATCTGAAATGTAGATAAACTGTTGTACCATAAACTTTTTCTATGCAAACAACAAATGCGCTTAATTGCATTTTGATATGGTCTGTTAAATGAGCATACTTTAATGTACCATTATTGTCAATACCTGACAAATCTCTACCCAGAACACAAAGTTGAATCCCAACAGGTAGCCTTTTTTATCATACAGAATGTTTAAAGCATTTCTGATTCTGGAGGTGAAATTGTTGGCAAAGATCCCACATGGATTATTCTGTATCAAGATACTGCTTTTGGCAAAATTACTACCCCTTTCTTAATAGCAATTTTGTTCCTTGGCTTGTACTTTGTCATAATCTTCCATAGTACTACTTACATAAAATTATGATTTTATTTTTATATTGTTTATGGTACATTCACAGTTGAGCTATGTTTGAAGTATTTAGGAGGACTAACAATAATTTGACTAGACCAGACTGGCATGCTAGCAATATTAACAATCTAGACACAAAATTCGTACCTAAATAGGCATTGCTCTCTATCTAATAGACACTAACTGTAACATAGGTAGTTTCCTAGTTTTATGTTTAATGTTGCCATACAATCGATGGCCCGAAATTTTGGTAACTTTTGGTCATTACGTAGAAAACAAAGTAGGGCAACACGACAACTTTTCACGTAATTCCCACACTGTATTTAATTTTATGATATTGTGACAATTCACATTCCCTATTATTCATAATATTCTTAGTAGAGTATGTTTCTTTTAATAATTCATTAAGATTTTAATGTAAATAATTTCTATGTTTTAACATGACTCTTGATTTTTTTTAAAATTTAATAACACCTTAAACTAAGTAATCAATTGGCTAATGTTTCATGGGTGATAATTTTTTGATTATCATTGTCGATAAACTCTTAACATGTCCATGTACTTGTCTGTATTGTGTGAGACCTATTTAGCTTTTGTAGCACATGAATAGAGCGGGACTGTGTTGGTCAGTAGTTCGGTCCGCCCACTAGCCTCTGACAGCGTGCGAGAGTCCGACCCCCAACCTCGCCTAGGTGCTCCCGGGTGGAGGGGGAGAAGATAGGGGGTGAGGGGTCGGTGCGGCGCGTACTGAGTGTGGCCGCGCGCAGCGCTCGCGCGGCTTCGGCTTCATCACGTTCCAGGAGGCGGCCTCAGTGGACAAGGTGCTCGCCGTTCCCGTTCACACCCTGGACGGGAAGCGCATCGACCCCAAGCACGCCACGCCCAAGTCGGCGCCGCGCCCCGCCAAGACGAAGAAGATCTTCGTGGGCGGCGTCGGCCAGGACACGTCGGCCGACGAGGTGCGCGGCTACTTCTCGCAGTTCGGCCTGGTGGAGGACGCCGTGATGCTGATGGACCAGCAGACCAAGCGGCACCGCGGCTTCGGCTTCGTCACCTTCCACTCGGAGGAGGCGGTCGAGCGCGTGTGCGACATCCACTTCCACACGATCAAGAACAAGAAGGTGGAGTGCAAGCGCGCCCAGCCCAAGGAGGCGGTGGCGGCGGCGCCCCTCGCCCTCGGCAAGCGGCTCGTGCTGAGACCGGGCCGCGGGCTGGTGTACGGCGGCGTGGGCGGCGTGGGCGGCGTGCCGGCCGTGGGCGCCGTGGGCGCGGTGGGAGTGGGCGCGCACGCGTACCGCTACGCGCCCTACGCCCTGCCCGCGCCGGGCACGCTCGTGGCGCCCCCCGCCCCCGCCCCGGCGCCGGCGCTGCCGCAGTTCGGCACCGCGTACTCGCTGGCCGGCGTCGACATGTCCTCGTTCCAGGGCGTGGACTGGAGCGCCATGTACGGCCTGCCCATGTACATCTAAGCGCCCCCAGAACTCCCCCCCCCCTGTTCATCCGCTCTCACCCCCCCTCCCCCCTCGCTATAGTTCCTACGCGCGTAGGCGTCAAGCCTCAAACCCACGGAGCTGACGGGCGAAAGATGGTGCGCCCGCTACGGGACATACGGTCTCCCCTTGTCTCCCCCACTCTCTCTTTGTTTGTGATCTGCGTGGGCTTGTTTTGTTTCTATTTTCGACTGACGACACGGAGAAATTATTGTAAGGCGAAGATCTCAGATATTAATTTAGTTAGAGCCGAGCGCGCGCGACCGTTCGACTCCCCGCGTCGTGTCCGTCTCGGATCGGATCCCGACGTTAGCTTAGCGGTGCACGATATGCAAGTTGCCGGGACTTGGTATTTGTATGGTTTATTTTGATGATTTGTTATTTATGAAAATGTGTGTACTCGACGAATCTCATCGCGGCTCTGTATTGTTTTTAATTTTGTTTTTTTTTTTTTGGTAACGTTAGTTGCCCTTATATTTTTCACATACAAAAAAAAAAACAGGCGAGAGAAAGGGCCGCTCGTGCGCGCCCTCTGACTCGATGCGAACCGCTGTCATTGAGAGCGAGCGCCGAACGGAAGCGACGTATCCCTTAATCAGTATTAGAATTTGGTGCCATCCCCCCTTGGAGGACGACTAAATTGTGCCAAAATCGCGTTGGATACGACATTTGAGGAACCCACCCCATTTACCATAGACAATGGGGCGTGTGCGTTGATGCTATCGAGCAGGTCTCGGTAACGGAATCCACTTCAATAATCTTTAAATTTATAACGATCAATCGTTAGTTGATAAAAGCATAGAGAATAAAGTAATCGATGCCATTTCCATGATACAATCCCAGTGTTCGATACATTCATAGCTCCATTTAGAATTTTTAATACTGTGTGCATAAAATTGTACTCCTTTCCCTATTGTCTATGGTCAATTGCGAGCGTCCCAATCGCGTCGCAGGGCGCACGCGCGGCGGCCCGATCACTCGCACTCCCATACATATCTAACTCGAGTGGAAAGCAATCTCATTTAGCGTTATATTTGTGACTTGGTAGTTTTTACGATAGACCCCGCCAACGGCGCAGTGCCAGCCCTACCCTACCCAATTTAGTCTACTCTATCGTGTCCACCTACGACGAATCCTCATAGACTCACGTTGGCTGGGCTACGGCACTGCGCTGCGGGCGACTAGTGTTTACTTTAATTGAATAGTATAGCAATTGAGGGAATGCGAACTAACACCCGAGTGTCTTGTGACAATAAGCTAAGTTTAAGCCGCTGTAGTTTGTTAGAGCCGCGCGGCTTCGCCTGGACCGATGCCCCCCCCCCCCTTGCCCCCACGCGTCTCCCGTCCGTTTGGTTTATGGTACCCCCTCCCCCTTTCCCGGTACAACCCACCAACGCCACCCGAAACGTCGATGCATGCGTTTGCTATTGCAAAAGTGCCAATCGTAGTGATAGTTGGTTGAGTTTTGTAGTGTGTGATTACTCCGAACCATCGCGACGGCCGTCTTCGAAATCTCGCGCGCGCATTTATTTAATTACTTACGTAGTGTTAGTGTTACATAATAGACTCATGTGAAAGCAATACTTAATTCTTACATACTGTGATTAGACGAGTATTATACGATAATTATAGTAAGTGGACTAAGATGGTTGTGTTCGTGCAATTCGTAGGCTTAAGTCGAAATTCTCAGGTGGGGGCGGACATGGTCGGCCCCTCCCCTTTTATTCTATAATGAGTGGATTTCGTACTCAACGGGCCGGCGTACTTAATTTGCGTACTTAATTGATTTGGTCTTGGTACGTGCCCACAGCACTGCAGTTTCGATGAAACGATAATCGGATCTACTCCAATTTTTACATATAGACCCTCTACTGCTCCATTTACCGTTTGGACGATAAATTCTTACGTGTATGTCTCTTTCGTTAAAAGTAACGTTAAATTCCCGGTGAACTTGTATTTGGTAATCCCATGGGGAGTTGTTCAAACCAAAAGGCAATACCGCTAATTTGAGAAATTTCAGATCGTTAATAAATCTCACTCTTGGTGACGGAACAACGTTAATCTGCCGTTCAGGACGAAACTGACACTGTTAAGGACCCATTATATGCCCCTCACTGTTAGAAGTCTTAATGCGACTGACAGTACAACCGTATATCCCACCACCGTGGCGTGGTCCAGGCGAAGACGCGCGGTCACTGTAGAGCCAGATGCATGCGGTAGCTTTGTCGGCCCCATTCCCACGCCGGCCGGCCCACTTATGTAACCTTGTCGCGTGGACGGTGACCCCAGCTACCCTACCCTCTGTTGTTCGATCCAAACATGTCTCACTCAGCGTGTGCAATTCGTAGAGCCCGTTTTGCTGTTACAATTTGTGTAGCGACTTAATTTCTCGGTCGTTTGTCGCTTTCCACGCGCCGAGGCTACCGAATGCTATACCACATGTGTACACACCTGTCCCCTATTATTATAGCAGTATTCTTAATATGTAAGTAGGTTAGTGCCTCCTGAGATTAACCGCGCCCGCCGCCTCCCCGCGTGTCCGCCACCCATCGACAACTAGCCGATCTCCTTTGACCTCTTGCCAAATTAAAAAGAAAGCGCGGCTCTATGGGCACGCGGCGACGCGGCGTCCGCCCTCGCCCGAAGTTAACACCTTTTGTATATTAGTGTTTTCCTTAAAAGAAATTCTCAGTATTAGACGGTTGATGATATGTTGATTGTGATGTCTTACGCGATAACCCCTCCGCGCCTGTGTTGCCACGGCGGCGGGGCTCGCCCTTAATATGTGTACTTAATTTTTTTTCTATATATATATATATTTATATATTTTTGTGCCGCGGAACGTCTCTGCCCCGGCGGGGACGTTCCGCGGCGGTACGAAGCGTATTTTTTTTCCACCTTCCGAAACACTTGTATTAGTTACGTTTGGTAACGCTGGTTTCGAACCCGAGCCCGTCGTCCCCGCGTTAGGGGGAGACAGATATATATACCCGTCACATCCTGCGCTCGGACGACGGGCTCGGGTGGTAGGTTTAGCCCGTAGTTACTATATATTTAGCGGTCTTAGTGTTTGCCCGTACATGACTGTATGTAATGGAGCACCTAGCGATATCCGATGTGTCATTACATTATTAATATTAGAACAAACATATTGTGTGTTTTATTTCGCTTGGCTCCGTGAGTGGGGTTGGATCCTGTTTTTAGCGACTCACTTGGGGGGGTGCTGTGTCGCCTTCGCCGTTCGCCACCGACGAAACGGACCCTCCTCATCTGCCTCCCCGATATTTTGGTTTGCGTTTTTGTGACTTTCGAGTAGTTTGCCTTGCGCGTGATACGGGGAAGTGGGAGAGCGCGTGGCGGGAGGGGCCCGCATATCGACAGCCGGCGACTAGGTAAGTGCGTCAGTATAGAGAGCCGGCATGCGTACATAACCGTGTACAATGCATTGCGTAGACTTTAACGCGTCCCTGTACATACTTGACTAACAAACTGTCCAACCTAACTGGAACCCTGGCGGGATGCCAACCGCTCGACCTGCGGGTTCACTGTCAATTCTTCGACGGGCGTTTGCCACACGTTGGTTGTGAAGCGTGCTATTAGGGTGACCTCTTCAGAGCCAGCTGTGTCCGAGCCAAGCTGACCACGCGGCCCGACTGACTACGGAAGGTCTGGCTCTGATGACAACACCGTACGTAGACACGTAGTGTAGACCTCGTAGTTCCGCTTGGCCTGGGGCCCAGTCTTCCATCAAGTAGGCCAAAATGTCTCGCGCCAAAATATCTTATACTTTGCTCAAGCGGCCGCGGTCATTAACTTTGTATTTTAAAAGTAACGGTGGAATTGTCTGTCTTCGACGAAAGTTCGATCGAGTATATATATATATATATATATATATATATATATATATATATATATATATATATATATATAATGTGTTAAATTTTGCCAAAAGTAAAACTACCGCTTCCTTGTCGGCAGTAGTGTAAAGCTCTATGACAATAAATCAAAATGGCGCACGTCACCAACACGTGCGATAACAGATGCTCTGTGGTCGTGCTGCCATTTTTCAGATACATTCCTCTCTAGTCATTGATTTTTTTTTGTAACTTAGGAATCTCGTTAAGGGACTTGACTCGATGCGAAGGTAGGAACTAAATGACCCTAATCTTGCTCAATACTCGTTCTTGCCTAGTAGAAGTTAATTTGTATTCGAATAACCAGCTTATAGTTAGTAGCATGTGCCATACACTAGTAGCGCGTCGACGAAGATTCGCAACGGTCACACCGCAGCTTTGCAACTCCAGGTCGACTGGACCAATATGAACGGAAATGCTTCATCTATTCTCCCTAATCTATTTACTATTAAGGTTATGATATACATGGATTAATATACACCTTTTCGATCGGTATAAGGGCATGTTGTAAAACGTAAAATACTCAAAAAAAATATGATAAACTATGTTGTGTGTTTCAAGCGTGGCGGCAGACGCTAGAGTAGTGATGTAGTGTAGCGATTTTGAGATTTTACATACATTATACTATAGTGAACTTAAGTATAACTAACCGAAAGCAATAACATTTAAATTATTATAATTACTGTTGCGGCGAAGCGAGCGCGCGTTGCTGTTTACAAAGGGACAGATTGTGGTAAAACTGGTTTAGAGCTAGCTCTGTACGCTTGAGGGTGCAAAAAGAAAAACAAAAGGTGGCAGCGCGCGCAAATTAGCGTCGTTACGATATATACACTCCGCATACAAGGATATTTTTGTATAATAGAAATTGGTGTACTTTGTAGCGTGTTGGTATTTGTAATTTTAAACGTTGAATAATCGTGATAATTGAAAAAAAAATGGATAACACTCGTCGAGTGGCATGTGATTGTTTCACGAGAATAAAAACGTAGGGCGCTCCTCGCGCCACCGCTTGGGGCGTGCGGCCGTTCGGGCACGTCAGTGTTGCCAATCCATGATACAATATGAGCCGAGCTGACGAGTTGTGTTGATTGCAACGACAGAACAGTCCGTTTTCACCCACCGCCTTGCTTCCATTGTGTCAACATGCTTAAATTTTATTAAATTGGTAGGTAATTAAGACTTCAAATGTGACTATTTTGTTGATTTTATTTTACACTGCTATTGTATATATAAATAATATATAATCCCGCTTCGTTATTCAATTTAATTAAAGACTAGCCTAAAACGGAATCAACCAAGTTGGTGTTGCCCCCATAATTTAACACTGCACCAAATTGTTTCATGGAAAATTTGGATTGTTTCGTTTTATCATTGTTAAAAATTCGATATCGAGGAATATTTGTTAAGAACACTGAGTAACTTTATGGTATTTACGAAGTTGGTAACGCTGATTAAGTTTTGGCGCCACTACCTGTGTAAGGTGACGCTAGACTTTGGATTCATTGCAAAAATAGCAATAGAGGCTGTATTAACATTCCTTTGTGTATAATTTTTTACGTAATGGCATTTTTATTTATGGTAGTTTACCTATTTCGATACAGATAGTTTTCTTACAATAGATATAGTAGATATGGGCTGTTTTTATTTTATCTACACTGATTGCTACTGATTATATTGTGCAATATGTAATGGATTTTTCTCTATGTATAATGTTGACAGTCATACCCGTAGCTAGGGGCGGGATCGGTTGTAGGTGTGTGTAGATTTCTTATTTGATGATTTACATAAAACGTCCCGGAGCATAGACTATGTTATTTTTGCTTTTATTTTTCGACATCTGGCCTACAATTAAAGACAATACATAATATAATTAATAAATACGCTCAAGGGGTTTGTCTTAACCCATCTTTAAATGTATTCTGTTCATTTTTATGGTCAATAAAATTTTAAAAAAGATATTGAACGGCACTAAGGCCAATTTGTAGTAGCTTTGCGTAAGAAATGTGAACAGATGCTCTATGCGAAGGGATTACTAGTGAGAGTGGCTTCTGTTGAATTAAGATTACTGAATGTTTTTTGTAATAGTATCCGGCATAAGGTGGTCATATTTGTAGATTATGTATAACCTACCGCGCCTCTGGCAAGAATTGAATCATAGTAACACTGTGCTTCGTTTTTATCAAGAGGGCGTTCATGCCACATAGGCGGGGACTCCTAGAGCCCCTTAGCAACGCTGTAGTGCGCAGGCCGCGCGCCTCCTCCGAAGCCTTTGAGTAAAAGATATTTTCTATGGTTCATCTTCACTTAGTCGAGTATTAGAAATAAATGGTAATAAACACAGCCGATCTTTCATTTATCGCTTTTTCGTACCTTGAATTAGTCAATTTGGATTTATTATTTTCCATAAACAAAACCGTAGAGCTTCGAGCGCCACTTTGGGCGCCAGTAAAGATTGTATTTTTTTACTTGTACTAGTTCGATAACCCCCCCCCCCCCCCCCCCCCCTCAGTTTGCGTAGTGTCTAGTAATATGGATAGTGCGAGATATATTCTTTCAGTGTATACTAGAGATGGCCTCTTGCTCTGAACGCTACTAGACTGTGGCCGATTTGTTAATACAAAATTTGGCGGCAGTCCTGATCAGCTAAAGATTTCACAATACGTCGACGTTCATCTGTCTATGTATAATAACGCTTCCATAAGAGGTTAACTGCATCAGTATACACTGTTTGGAGGACTTCGACTATTGGACCCATAGATGCATGGTGACGTCGTAAATTCCGATTCGAAGCGAGCATTAGCGGTGGGGTGTGCATGAGAGGGTGTCGAGCGGACCGGAGCTGCGTTGGAAGACGGAAGATCGACGGGCTACACACTTCCTCATATGGGGGACAATACTGTGGTGTCCCGAAACATGTAATGGACTTTGTATCAAGAATGACAAATATCAAGGCATATGAGGGAGTGACGGCTCTCCCGCAGAAACGGATGGACTAGGCGGGTCCATATTATTTTTTTGTTTTGCTACTAAACATTTTTAATATGCTTTACATAGTTTGAAGTAATTTTGAACGCTTTTTGTTCGGACACGATCAGTATTGTCTTACATTAGCAGGGGACCGCTGTCTCATCGCTTCGGTATCCCGTTTTCTATAGAAGTGCATCCCAGTAAATTAGATTCGTAGACGAATAGTCATAACTTTGGGTGCTGGGTTTACAAATTGTGGTATTATAAATAGTAGTTGGATGAATCAGTTTGGTTATTTTCTTTTACAATTAATAGTGATGGAATTTCACCAGGACCGCTTTAAGATTTTTTTTTGAAAATCTCGCGTAGTATACGTAGTGTCGAGTAGCTTAAAAATCTTAGACGAAAACTGAGAGCATATCATCAATAAACCCCTGTAACATAGACACAATCTTGTTGTGCCTTATTTAATTTCATTCGTTATAAATATTGCTTTGTCGATGAAAACGCTAGCAAATTTCTAGACGTAGAATACGGACCAATGAACGATTAGTTTGGAAAATGGAGACAATATTTTTTGTACAATTTTATTGTTCTGTTAAATATTACGGCGTTGAGGCGTTGGTAAAACAATAAACGAATTAGATGTCTTTTCTTTAAATCGGTAGTGTATTTTAGAGAACTATTTGTAAACGTGGAACAGTAAAATATAGCGACCCATTTCTGTCGTAGTACAAAGTAATTTAAGTATTTTGTAATTGAATTGTGTAATGTCATTTTGACACGTCTTCCTTAAAAATATAAACGATAGACTGATGTTAGTCACCCGTTATGTAATTTTCTTTTGATATCCCGTATCGCTGGGATGCACTAGATTTGGTTTATGTAGGTAAGTAATCATAGACAATGTGAGGGCGCTTGTTTGGACCTCGATCTGTCAAATTTGCCGCCAAAATCGAGCATGTCTATATGGAAATGAATACAAATCATGGTCTGAAAAAGTGCTTTTTCAATTACAATTATTGATTACACTAAACAGTAGATAAAATAAGAGTGTTCAGTAGAAGAAAACCCCTGTACAAGACTTAAGCAGAGTGCCTAATAATGTGACAATATCTTTAGATCACATATCCGTTTACTAGGAACTGTCGGCGCATTTGTTCTTACCACGTTGATTTTTTTTCCAAACCTTACTATATTGGGAGTTGGTACGTAAATTACGTATAAATATAACTCGAAAAATAACTTAGGAATGTGATTTCTAGTGGTAATAACGAATACGTTTATCTGTGATTCTAACGAGTATCTTTAAATAACAATTGACGAACTTTTGTGATCATCTCTATGACATATCAAATTTGTTTTCTAGTCATTTTAGTTGGAAGCTATCCAGTTAGCATAGTCCGATGGTTTTCAGTTCCCCTTGAGTTAGTCGGCAGTTATAGTTTAGCAATATTTGATTTTACTTTGCCAGTTGTATAGGATCGATTGCCTGTTATTTGTGCCGACGCTGTGTCGAGCGATTTAGCACAAATGACATGTTCTCTT